TTGAAAGAGTTACAGAGAGAGGAGAGGCAGAGAGAGAGAGGTCTTCCATCTGCTGGTTCACTGCCCAGTTGGCCCCAATGGCCTGAGTTGTGCCGATCCGAAGCCAGGAGCCAGGAGCTTCATCTGGGTCTCCCACGCAGGTGCAGGGGCCCAAGGACTTGGGCCATCTACTGCTTTCCCAGGCCATAGCAGAGAGAGCTGGATCGGAAGAGGAGCAGCAGGGACTAGAACCGGTGCTCATATGGGATGCCGCTGCTGCAGGCCAGGGCTTTAACCCGCTGCGCCACAGCGGCGACCCACAACCCCCTTTCCTAGTCATCTCCCCGAACTCACTATTTTGACTCTAATTGTCATTATCTTTGTCTGTTCTTAAACTTCACAAATGAAATCAAAGTGAATGCACTATTTTGTGTCTTTTGTTCAGGGTAATTCTTTGATATTCATCTACATCGTTACAGGTTTCCATGGTTTGTTCTTTTTTATTACTGAATAATGCTCTATCTCGACTATATAAATAGATCACATTTTATCTATTCTCCTCCTGATGGATATTTGGTGGTTCCTGGTTTGGGGCTATGAAGAACAGAAATGCTACAAACATTCATGTATATAAAAATTTGTGGACATATTCACTCAGTTCTTTAGGGTACATATTTATAAGTTGAAATTCTAGGTCATAGGGTAGGTATATATTTCTCTTTAGTGGTTACTACTAAACTGTTTTATAAGGTGTTTATATTAAATTTCCACCAATATATAAAAGTTCTGGTTGTTCCACATCCTTAGCAATACTTGGTACTTCCATTCAAAAAATTATTGATTGATTGATTGATTGATTGATTTGAAAGTAAGAGTTACAGAGAGACAGGGGTCCCATATCAGAGTACCTAGGTTCAAGTCCCAGCTCTGCTTCCAATTCCAGCTTCCTATTAAATGCAGACCCTGGGAGGAAGTAGGTAATGGTTCAAGTTCCTGGGTCCCTCTCACCCATGTGGGAAACCCAGAATGAGTTCAAGCTTCTGGCTTTGGCCTGGCCCAGTCTCAGCCATTGGAGGCATTTGAAGAGTGAATCAGCAGGTGAAAGATATCCGTGTCCTGTCTCTCTGACTTTCCAAATAAACAAAAATGAATTAATTTAAAAATGAAAAAATATGAGCAAAGAAATGTCTGGGTATATCAGTATTGCTGCAAATATAGTTTTTGTCAAACTTAGTTTTATACCTTTGTCACCCCAGTGGTTAAAAATGTTACACTCCTATAGTTTTAATGATCTGTGATTACTTCAAAGTTTATTAGGCATGGTGAAATGGTCATTTTTGCATTTGGCTGTTGTTTATAGTCCTTGCCTATATTTCCATAAACTAGGATATTTTTGCTTTTTGAATGTTGAACATTTTATGGAGAATTAATGCCTTAACTCTAATGTAAATTAAAAATATGTTACCTCAAAAACTAAGAAAGAAGGAAAGAATTAGGGGAAGGAAGGAAGGAAGGGGAAAGAGGGAGGGGGTTAGGGAAAATCATTATATTGTTAGAATTGTATCTATGAACCATAGGAATTTGTTAAAAAATAAGTAGGTAAAAATTTGAAAAAATTTGAAAGTCTGATAAAAATACATACTTTGAAAAAACTTGTACTTTCCTTTTACAGTATTTCTTACAATTATAATAAACTTTGATCTCAAAAATTGGAAAAAAATTTAATAAAAATTTTAAAAAAATCAACGCTTGCATTAGAGTTTACAGTGCACATAAGACAAATCAACTTTCAAACAACACAATCACTTCACAGGTAGTTCAAGTACCTTGCATTACCAATTCCTGCCTCTTATCCCTTTAAATTGTGATGTTGTTCCTTTCACTTACGCATAAGCAATAATCACTCATTATATTGTTATTCTGAACAAAATGTTACCTGCTAGTTCAATTAAGAAAAAGATTTTATTTTCCCTTCATTTATTATTTCTCTAATCTTCTTCCCTTCTTTATGCAGGTCTGAGTGCTTTAAAACAATATAATTTCCTTCTCTCTGAAGAACTTTGAACATTTCTTGCAAGTCAGATCTACTAGTGACAAATTCCTTCAATTTTTGTTTGTTGGAGGAAGTCTTTGTTTCAGGTCCTGTGCCATGGCACAGTAGGTTAAGCCTCCGCCTGCAGCACTGGCATCAGATATGGGTGCCGGTTCCAGTCCCAGCTGCTCCACTTCTGATCCAGCTCCGTGCTAATGTGTCTGGGAAAGCAGCAGAACATAGCCCAAGTCCCTGGGTCCCTGCACTCATGTGGGAAACCCCGAAGAAGCTCCTGCTCCTGATTGGCGCAGCTCCGGCCATTGCAGTCAATTGGGGAGTGAACTAGTAGATGGAAGACCTCTCTTTCTCTTTCTCTCTCTCTTTTTCTGCCTCTCCTTCTCTCTCTGTGTAACTCTTTCAAATAAAATAAATAAATCTTGGCTCGTGACGCGGCTCACTAGGCTAATCCTCTGCCGGCAGTGCCGGTACCCCAGGTTCTAGTCCTGGTTGGGGCGCCAGATTCTGTCCTGGTTGCTCCTCTTCCAGGCCAGCTCTCTGCTGTGGCCAGGGAGTGCAGTGGAGGATGGCCCAAGTGCTTGGGCCCTGCACCCCATGGGAGACCAGGAGAAGTACCTGGCTTCTGGCTTCGGATCAGCGCAGCACACCGGCCGTGGCGGCCATTTGGGGGGTGAACCAACGGAAGGAAGACATTTCTCTCTGTCTCTCTCTCTCTCTGTCTAACTCTTTCTGTCAAAAAAAATTAAGGGCAGGCACTGCGGCTCACTAGGCTAATCCTCCGCCCTGCGGCGCCGGCACACCGGGTTCTAGTCCCGGTAGGGGCGCCGGATTCTGTCTCGGTTGCCCCCTTCTAGGCCAGCTCTCTGCTGTGGCCAGGGAGTGCAGTGGAGGATGGCCCAAGTGCTTGGGCCCTGCACCCCATGGGAGACCAGGAGAAGCACCTGGCTCCTGCCATCAGATCAGCACGGTGCGTTGGCTGCGGCGGCCATTGGAGGGTGAACCAACGGCAAAAGGAAGACCTTTCTCTCTGTCTCTCTCTCTCACTGTCCACTCTGCCTGTCAAAAAAAAAAAAAAAAAAAAAATTAAGTAAATAAATAAATCTTTATATATATATATATATATATAAAACATGTAGAATTTCTGGTTGTGGTTCTTTATAACACTCTTTTCTTGTTGGCTTGTTCCTGAAAAGAAGTCTAAGATAATTTGTACCATTATTTCTCTGTGAATAAACTGTTTTCTTCTTCTCTGGCATCATTCAAGATTTTCTTCTTGTCTTTGACTTTCTGCAGTTTGCATGCGACATGTATGTATGTATGTATGTATCCTATATGTATGTATGTATGTATTCTGCTTGGTGTTCTCTGAACTTTTGAGATCTGGGGTTTGGTTCTGTTGTTAATTTTGAAAAATTCTTGCCAATATTATTTAAAATATTTCTTTTGTTCTTTTCTCTCTTTTGTCTTTCTTCACAGTCTTATTATACATACATTATACCTTTTATAACCATTCCCTGATACTTGGATTCTGTTCTGTCATTTTAATTCTTTTCTTTCTCCTTGAAGTTCACATTTTGTGGTTTCTACTGGCATATCTTCAAACTCGCTCATTCCCTCCTTGGCCCCGATTACTAGTGAGCCTATCAAAGGCATGCTTCCTTTCTGTTACACAATTGCTGTATTCCCAGACCTTTCTCTGGATTCTTTGAGCTGCAATCTCTCTGCATACATTACTCATTTGTTCTTGGAGGATGTCTATTTTTGCCATTAGAGCCCTCAGTATACTAATTGTTATTTTAATTCAAAAATATTTGCTATATTTGAATTTGGTCCAAATGCTTTGTCTCTCCAGACTGTGTGTTGTTTCATTTTTATTAATTTTATCTCTTAGTGTGCTTTGTAATTTTCTGTTTACAGCCTTACATGATGCATCAGGTAAAAGCAACTGAGTAGGACTTTAGGGTGACTTTGTTGTTTATCTGGCTAGTTCTGAAGTGTTTACTATCTGCTACAGATGCGATGTCAGAGGCTGACAATTCCTCCAGTGTCCTCATTTTTACCTCTCTTCTCGTTTGGGATTTTACTAGAGATCTTTTCAATAGGTTCTTAGGTTTGCAATTCTTTTAGCTGCAATCCTGTTACTTTATAGGAGCCAAATGGATATTGTGGTACGGTGCTGGGAGAGGGGCGTTTTCTGTAATGCTAGGTCTCGGTCTTTCAGTGAGCCTTAGTTGGGTTTTTCCTTTCTCCCACATTGGTTAGTCTTTGGTAAAATGCCAGTAGGTAAGGCACTTGCAAATTAGTTTCTCTTGAAGACAGGCACTGTTAAGGCAAACAGAGAGCTCTGGATGACTTTCAAAAGGTTACCTTACCCTGTTCTCTGCTGAAAGCATATGTAGATTTTTCTCCAGTCTTCATAGTGAAAAATCTGGTAGGGATCCTGGGTATGAAACTAGAGAGTGTGTGGAGACCTCCTTAAGATTGGGTGCCTCCAGAGTTTTTAAACTCCCACACTTGACCACACTGAGGCTCAGTTATTTGTCAATTGTGATTTTAAAAACTGCTACAGGGGCAGGCACTGGGGAAGGGGACAGGTGGTTAAGCTGTCTCCTGGCATGCCAGCATCCCATCCTGGAGTGACTGAGATCCCTTCCAGCCCACTTCTTATTAATGTGCGTGCTATGAGGTATTAGTGGCTCAAGTACTTGATTCCCTGCTCCCTATGTGGGGGTCTTGAATGGAATTCCTAGCTCTTGGCTTTGACTTGGCCCAAACTTGGCTTGTTGCAGGCATTTGGGGAATGAACCAGCAGATGGATGCTTGCTCTCTCTCTTACTGTCTGTTGCTCTGCCTTTCAAATAAAAATAAATAAACCTACAAATTTAAAACACAAACTATTCCTGCAAACATTGGTTATAGCCAAGAACTTCTGCTCTATGTAACCTGTAGTTCTTTGTATCCACCTGTTTACCTCTCCAAGATTCAGGACAGCAGTTTTTCTTGTAACTCCAGTTCTCTGATGGATAAAAAAAAAAAAAAAGGTTGGTTTTCAGTTGGTTCAGCTTTTTCTGGTCATGAGGACAGCAGTGTTGGGTTCCAAGTTCTTCACACATTAGACCACACACCAGTAGTTCACCTGGCCTGTTTTGTTTTTGATATGGAAATTAGTATGTTTAGTCACCAATGTCATATAAGAACAGATGGTATATCTTTATCTTAGAATCTCCCAAATGTATTGTTCTAGAGCCCCAGAACTTAGTCCAGTCATTGGAGCTTTCAAATATTTTACTGGGAGGAACTGTAGACCATGACCAGTCCACTAGGAGATCTCCCCGGCCTTTTTTTCCATTTTATTTTCCTTTTTTTAAAGATTTATTTTATTTATTTGAAAGACAGAGTTACAGAGAGAGGAGAGGCAGAGAGAGAGAGGTCTTCCATCCGCTGGTTCACTCCCTAGTTGGCTGCAATGGCCGGAGCTGCACCGATCTGAAGCCAGGAGCCAGGAGCTTCTTCCAGGTCTCCCACATGGGTGCTGGGGCCCAAGGACTTGGGCCATCCTCCACTACTTTCCCAGGCCTTAGCAGAGAGCTGGATCAGAAGAGGAGCAGCTGGGATTAGAACTGGTGCCCATATGGGATGGTGCTTCAGGCCAGGGCTTTAACCCACTGTACCACAGCACCGGCCCCTTCCATTTTGTTTCTATTATTGCAATGACTAGATTAAACTGTGGCACCACTGAAAAGATAACCCTCAGCCCCGTGCATCCTTGCCTACTACTGCCATCATGACTGCAGTAGACTTTGGAGGGAGGATGATTCTATCATTTCAGTGTCATGCTCCACTCTGGGGCTTCTACGCTTGTAACTGATCCTTCAGGCAGTCAGCCAACATTGCTAAAGTGAATCCACCAGGTCAGGTAGATAAATTAACAGGGTCAGCTGCACACCCAAGTTCCTCCATCTTCATGGTGAATTCCCTCACACTGGAGCTCTTTCCAACAGGTTGGCCATACTCACGACCACCTACGTTAATCAGATCTTCTTCAGAGAGGAAAGGTACTAAGAACAGATCTACTGGAATTGTCTACTTGCTGTTCAGAGGCTAATTCCATGTTATAAAGGGGGTGTAGAGAGAGGCAGCATTGCTAAGGTACCTGAGACTCTTCAGAGTAATATCCTGAGGCTGGAGCCACTTTGCTTGCATTAAAAAAAAAAAAAAAAAAGATTTGGGGCTGGCACTGTTGCTCAGCAGGTTAAAGCCCCAGCCTGCAGTGCTGGCATCCAATATAGGTGCCTGTTTGAGTTCCAGCTGCTCCATTTCTGATCCAGCTCCCTGCTAATGCACCTGGGAAAGCAGCGGAGGATGGCCCAAGTCCTTGGTCCCCTGCCCTTATGTGGGAGGTCCTGGCTCCTGGCTTTGGACCAGCTCAGCTTCTGACCGCTGCTGCTGTTTGGGGAGTGAACCAGTGGGTTGAAGGCCTCTCTCTCTCTCTCTCTCTCTCTCTCTCTCTTTCTGTAACTCTGTCTTTCAAATAAATAAAATAAATCTTTAAAAACAAATTTATTAGAAAGATTTGCAGAGAGAGGACACACACACACAGAGCGAGAGAGTGAGAGCGAGAGAGCGAGAGCAAGAGAGAGAGAGATCTTCCATCCACTGATTTATACCTCAGATGGCTGCATTGGCCAGCACTGGGCTGGTCCAAAGTCAGGAGCCAGGAGCTTCTTCCAGGCCTCCCACATGGATTCAGGGACCCAAGCACTTGGGCCATCTTCCACTGCTTTCCCAGGCCATTAGCAGGGAGCTGGATTGGAAATGGAGCAGCCTGGACTCGAACTGGTGCCAATACAGGATGCTGGTATAGCAAGCAGCTGCTTTACTTGCTGTGCCATGATGTGGGCCTATGGTTACATTTTTATAGAGCTAAATGTAACTGAGAATTTACAACCAGTATCCCCCACCCTACGTGTCTCTTTACCAAGGTAGAAAACCCAGATCTCTTGTCTCTGGTTGGACAACTGTGAGATGTAATTAACACTCCCAGATTCCTCTGTGGGATCACATACTTGCTTAGTTTCTGTCTTTGGATTGCTTTCTCCACACTCTCACACATCTCTGCTGGGAGCACTTCCTTAACCAACCACTTCTTCATGATCTTCATTTCAGTATCTGATCCCAAGGAACTCAACACTCCATCCAAAGGATTTGAGGCAATGAATTCTATCTACTTTTCTTTTTTCTCTTTTGTAATTTGAGAGACAAAGAGAGACAGAGACAGACAGATAGAGTGACACAGGGTTCCTATCCATTGGTTCACTCCCCAGATGCCCATGATGGGGACTGGACTGGACTGGAGCCAGGAACCAGGAACTCAATCCAAGTCTCCTACATGGATGGTAAAACCCAATTACTTAAGCCATTAGTAATGGCAGGAAGCTGGACTTGGGAGCCAGAACCAGAACTCAAACTTAGGCACTCTGAGGTGAGATGTGAGCATCTTTGGCTCACTCTTGTTCTTACATTTTCATAGACAACTAACTCTAGCCCAAAATGATTTGTTCCTCCAAATGGAATTGCTAGCACCATTTAAATGGCAACTGCTCATACAAATAAAGTTTTATTCCTGCCCAAGAAAGTGTATGCTATTGGTTGTTTCCAATATTTCTAGTTCATATTTTTCTTGTGACTATCCCATAGAGGCCTGAAAATGGCCAAGGCCCACAGTAGCCAGATCACCTACCTGATCAATCACTTTAGTTAAGGAAAGTTGCTTGAATATTTACTCTGAAATCAAAGACTTTCCAACCCTTATCCCTCAACGTCTATTTTTCCCTCAGTGTCTTCTTTCAGCAAATAGTGGCACCCACATTTCTTCCCTCTTGTCCAGGGCCTGTTCATGGGAAATGATTAAACCAGGGAGTGACTGAAATGTGGTTTCTTTCTTCTCTCTGTGAGAGATCTGGAGGGAAGGTTACACGGTGGAAGGGGATGACCCTCCCTCTGGCCCTGTCTCTGTAACTCCCCTTGTGCTGGTGAGAGCTCAGGAAACAGGTTACCCCACTTTCATCTTAGAAACAGTGGGGAGGTCAGCAAGTCACGGCCGTCAAAGCATCAAGTTAAGGCAGAGACAATCCTGGTTCGAGCCCTGGCTTTGTACTTACTGGCTCCGTGGGCTTAACAAAAATCATTGAACCTATTTGTGACTCCCTTTCCCTAACAGGAAGAGAATAATACTGACCTCCAGGAGCTGTTCTAGAGCTTAGACATGAAATCAAATATGCTCAATAGCTGGCACTGAGTAAACACCTGAAAAATATGAATCCTTCCTCTTCCTCCCTACTGAAAGGTACAGTAAATGATGTTGGATTTATTAGAGTCATCGTTTTTCTTCCCTACGTAAGAAGACTGCTCCCTTCCCCCAGCTAACTCCCCATATTCACATTCCAGAACTTGAAGTTAGAAGGTACCTATTGTATCACCTTGTTCAACCCACCCATTTTGCAACAGTGAAAGTGAAGCTTAGAGGGTTCAGGGGCCTTGTCCAAAGCCTACTCTTTCTCTTCTTTTGCTCCTTGACCTACACTTTGTTAATTATCGCCTTTCTGAAGCCCATGTTTACACATCCTGGCTAATGTTTAGCTACCTGCACCTCCAGCATTATTTCATGAGGTGTTGCCTCATGGGGTTATTTCAGGTCTTTGGCAATGCTATGAATTCCTCGCGGCTCCCCTAAGGAGCCACACTGGTGCTTGACCACTGGCCAAGGAATCCTAGATCCTTCCTGAAAGAAGGCTGTTCTCTCTTGACACGTGAGTCCTCTGGCAGAAATGCATTCTAGTGAGGCTGGAAGACAGCATCTGAGATACCCCAGTGCTCTGGGGAAGAAGCCACCCCTCTGTCTCCACCGCAGGCTCTGGGAGAGATCCAGAGCCTCAGAGTTGGATCTCCAAGGCCAGAGGCTTTCAGCTGCCTAGAGAACTCCCTTACCAGCCAGCCTGCCCATTCTATTCTGTAACTCCATCCCTGGGGGAGGGCCCACCAATGCCCCTCAGGGTCAGAACTGATGAACACTGGCCAATGAGAGCACAGGCGTGGGTGCGAATGCAGTAAAGTCGCACCAGGGAGAACTGGGGAGACCCCAGAACCCTGCACGGCACAGCACCCCCTGCAATGCCACCCTCAGGCCCCAGCTTGGAGGACAAGCCTGGGAGGAGATCGCAGCCTGAGCGTTGGCAGGGAGGTGGGCACACACTCAGGCGCTGACTGAGGGTGGGCAGCAGAGCACAGGTGTGAGAAAGCTCTCCAGTGATTCTCAGGCTCTGTCCCCCCCTCTAGGTTGTCAGGCTTAGCCAACAGAGCACAAGACACCCAGTTAAATCAGAATTTCATATAAACAACAAATACGTTTTAAAGTAAATATGTCCCAGGTAATATTGGGGGTATACTTACACTAAAAAACAAAGTTTATCTGAAATTCAAATTTAACAGGGTAGCATACATTTTATCTGGCAACTCTCCCACTCTCCCCACCCTCAAACAGGAAAGTGACATTTTAAAATACCATTCTAAAAAAAACATACAAAATAGAGAGGAGTATGAAAAATAAAAATAAAATCAGCCATAATTTTACTGCCCAGGGTTGTTAACCAGCGTTAACATTTTGGTCCATTCCTTGTCTGGATGTTTGTGTATGTGAGTGTGTGAGAGATTTACTGTCAGTCTTATATTTCTCTACAAAATGTAGATTATGTCAAACACACAGCTTTTAATTATGCTTTTCCCTCTTTTTCTGTAATTATATATATAAAATATATAATAAAGCTTATAAGAATATATTACAATGTTATATATGTGTATTATTGTATATTTTATTTCATATATCATTACATTTATTATAGATTCACATATATTACACATACTGTATTTTATACAAAATGCAGGTTAAAAAATTTTTATGAGAGAGAGAGAGAGAGAGAGCCCATCACTGTTTCATTCCCTCAAATGCCCACAATGGCCAGAGCTTAGCTGGGGCCAGAGCCAAGAGCCAGGGACTCAATCCAGGAGCTGGGAACTCAATCTAATCCTCATTAGGGTAGTTGGCCTCTTCTGAGAACACTCCAACTGGTCTAAATACTCTTCAAGCCCGCCTGAAAAGCCCTCACATCCTTATATTTGCTGGTTCTAAACTATTATTTCACAAAGTTTTCATGGTTCCAATCAATCTCCACATTGAATGACTCTCAAAAACATATCAACATAGCACCCTTCACCTGCCCCTTCTAAGATGCTCCTGTGATTCTGTCAAAGTAGTAGCATCCCAACTTGCTGCACTAAGCAATCAACTTGGCTTTGTGCAATCAGCAGGCCACCTCAGGAGTCTGTGAGGGACTCGGCCAACAAGAGTGGTATGAAGCAAAAGCAAGACCACTCCGTCCATGCTGATGGAGGTGGGTGGCAATGTTGGTACCTTCATTTGGTTGGAAGCCTCTCAAAAGGGGTACTTTTTAAGCTGAGATGTGAATGAAGAAATGTATCTGGCCTTGGAGCCAAACTCCAAAGCCCTGGGAATAATAAAAGGTTCACTGTACAGCAGAGGTCAGAGAGGTGGTGGGGCTGAGTGGATGTCAGGCGGTATAGTTCACGACAGGCCAATGTAAAGAATTTGGGTGTTGTTCTTAGTGTGATTTTTTTAACCCTGGAAGATTTAAGCCAGGAGGTGACATCCCTTCATCTATCCACCCAGTCAATGGAGATCTTGCCTAGTGTTTATGGGTATGGACTGCCCTGGAGGTGTAGCATTCTTGAGGAAAGACTGATGCATACAACCAGCATGCAGAAGACCAACGCCCATTCACTGCTGCAGGTGTAGAAAGGAAAGGGTGACCCAAAGCCACACAACCAGAACAACTGACCCTTCCTTGCCGTGATTCTGGCTCTCACATCTCCAGGTTCAATGGAAACATAGTTTGCCTGATTGTGGTTTCCAGGCTCTGAGATCCGCAGAGCACTACTGCAAACCCAGGCCATGGACTTATATGGCAAACTCCATCTGCCTTTAAGAGCCTCGGCACCAAGCACAGTAGTGCCTGGCATAGAGTAGGTGATCGATAAATGTTGGAATGTATGATCTACTTCTTAGGTATTTATGTTGCACCCAGTTCCAAAAAGTTTTGAAGCTGCATACTGAGATACATATATTATTAAAACATAAAATATAAATTATTAAATCAGGTTAAGAGAACAGGAGGTAGGGAAATAAATAGGATAAAATTAGGGTAAAGGTAAAATCAGTGGTTAAAAATCATTAAAGAGAGGCTGCCACCATGGCACAGAGGGCTAAAGCCTCAGCCTGCTGTGCCAGCATCCTATATGGTCGCCAGTTCAAGTCCTGGCTGCTCTACTTCTGATCCAACTCCCCGCTAATGGCCTGGGAAAGCAGCGGAGGATGTCCCAAGTCCTTGGGCCCCTGCACCCAGGTGGGAGACCCAGAAGAAGCTCCTGGCTTCAGATTGGCTTAGCTCCAGCTGCTGCAGGCATTTGGGGAGTGAACCACTGGATGGAAGATCTCTCTCTCTCTGTCTCTAACTCTTTCTGTAACTCTGTCTTTCAAATAAATAAAATAATAGAGGTGAATGGCAGTCTTATAAAGTTTTCCAGCACCCAGTGAAAGGAGTAAAGGTTAGTTTCTAGATGCACAGACAAAATTTATAAACAAACAGAAGACAGCAACTCAGGAACAGTCTAGCTCTTTCTAGTAATGAATCAAATACTTTTTTATGTTCCTCACAAAAGGATTTTCTGTGAGATAATAAGTAATAACAATCTTTAAACAAATACAGTTGTGAGTTCCAAATGGCTATTTTTGGAAAATCCTCTGGGAGCGTTATCCAGACACAACTGAGCATAACTCCTTCATGGTGACTGGAGAGGAGAGGGGAGAGCACCCATTTCTGACCCACGGCTAGCTGGTGAGTGCAGCCCCAACAGTGGAGGGAGGGGCAGGCGTCTGGTGCAGTGGTGAAGACACCACTGGGGACACCCACTTCCCACACAAGAGTGACTGGGTTCAGGTTCTGGCTCTGCTTCCAATTCCAGCTTCCTGCAACTGCACACCCTGGGAGGCAGCAGGAGATGGCTCAAGTACTTTGATCCCTAGCACCCACAGGAGAGGCAAAGACTGAATTCCTGGTTCCCAGCTTCAGCCTGGCCTAACCCTGGCTGTTGGGGAATGAATCAGTGGATGGAATATTTTTGTCTGTCTGCATGCCTCAGTCTCTCTCTTTCAGGAAAAAGAAAAATGGTGATTATTCCAGAAGAAAAAAAAATAGTAGAGGAGCCCAGATGAATGTTGGGCAACAGCAGCAGATCAGTTTACTGGGACTCAAGGTGTTTGGACATGGTGGAGGCAGGTGCTTGTATGCATCTCATGAGTCTTTGAAAAGGAGCAACTGGTAATGTGGGCCGTCACCATCTCCCTACCTCTCATGTGGAGCAAATTTAGGCCCTTCTAGAATAAAATGTAAGGGATGGGTCTCCATAGAGGCAGGATTTGTGCAGGAGGAAGCTTCATGAAGTGCTACACCAAACACTTCACATTTTAACTTCGAAGAAAGCACCTCCTGGCAGGTGACCTTACAATAAGTGCAGTTAGGGGTGGGGTCACCCAGGGTCTGTCTCTGGCTCCATCAGGGTGCCCCATTTCCTGATTCTTATAAGAGGACCATAAAAACCTGGTCCTGACTTTCGGTTGACATCCGAGATGACAGGGAACATGAGATGCTGTTGATAGATCACCTAGCCCAGTGCCTGGCATGAACAACAGGAACCCAGTACTTACTCATTTCTCTCACCTCTTAGCTTCCTCTTTTCCATTTTTCTACTCAAGGGATACTCATCAATTAAGCCACCCCTCTCTTCCTGCCTGCCATTTCCACCTTGCCCAGAGCTGCTTTCCCTTGAGCCCCGGGTAGAAGTGCTCTACATGTGTACTCTTCACAAAATGCCTCAGAAAGGAACCAGCATTGTGGAAGGGTGTTGTGCCTCTGATCTGCAAGGTTGATGTGAAATTTCCCTCTTAGCCTTCTAACTCAGGCTGGTCCCTGACTTCATGACCCGACTTGTCGCCAGGTCTCTCTTTTCTAGAGAGCACTGTCAACACTACAGCATTTGTGAGCGGTCACATCCGTTGGACCAAGAGAAATGTTCAGTAGGTTGGAGCCAGGAGCAGCTACAAGAATAGAGGCAGAGCATAGAAGTCTCTGTGCACATCACAGGCTGTATGTTCCGCTGAAGGAGATGAGGCAAGAAGGCATTCATAAATTCTCAGAAATAACGTCAAGGAAATAAAGTCCTTGGATGACAACTGGATGGTGTCATCCAAAGACTTACAATGCTATGGCATACAATGGTATGGCTGTAGTGCTCAATTTGTGTTGTCTTCAAATTTGACTGGAAAGTCAACAACCATGCCCTGGTTGGGGTACTTTTTTATATAATTGTGTTCCTTCCATTAGGTGTATAATTTTAAGATTATTATCAGGTTTCTAAATGTATTCTGTCTTGATATTATGTACATATTTGGTTTTGGTGCTATTACTGGGAGAAGAGGGGGAGGGGAAGAAGAAGGAAACCACAGTGCCTACCAATGTGATCATAAACCCAGTATATTCTCTAAGCAAATGAATTCCCAGGCCCACCTGTTGAACAAACAGACCGCTTGGTACTTCAAAAGACTACTGAAGAAATAAATATGAAGATTTTCTTTTCAAGGCAGAGTGAAAACATGAGTATCTATTCAAGGCCAACAGGAAGGAAGACATAAATGCAAACTGATCAGTGTCCCAAGTTTTGGAAAAAGACAAAGGTACTTTCGAAGGATTTCAGTATCAAGGGCTGGCCACAATGATTTTATCTTCTAGTAACCAGGACACTCTATCAGCCGTCGGCACTCTTACCTGGCATTTGTCTATTTGTAGACTATCCCTACGTCTCCTGTTAGCCAGTGAGTTCCCCAGCTATGATTACCTCAGTATATGAGTTCCTTTCTCTGCACTTACTCCCAAATGGTTGACATTGATTTGCAACATTAATGAAGTAAGTACCCAACCATCCTTGTTCATGAGCTATTACCTCGGTATTGATTGTAGCCTTAATTGACAATTACTTGAATGGGCTGGGCTACACTGAGCTTTTATTAATTTTCCATTGTGATACTCATTACTAAACTTCATTGCAATTGTGTAATGATGTAAACTCCCCACTGTGGCTAACTGAAGTGGAAAATTCCACTGGCCGTTTCCCAAACGTATTTATGCTGGAAAATAGAAATTTGGTATTGTTAAATCTGATATCAGGATGCTAGGCCTTGATTCTGTGGGAAGAGAATTGTGACTTTGGCTGTAAAAATAAATAGAGTTTACTAAATTATTTTTCCTTCACTGTTATTTCAGAAGACATGTATCCAGAGACTTGTTTCTCTGTGTCCTTGCCTGGAGAAAGAGTGGAACCCCAGGCTACTGTTAAATTATATTCATTCTTTCATCTCCTTTAAAAAATTTAATTAGGGGTGGGAAAAGGACAGGGAGAAGAGATTATATGGTCTCAGGAATTTTCATTTCCTTCTGCTGAGTCTCATAAATAGATTTTTTTTGGCATTGTCTCCAACAAACAAAAATCCTCTAATTGTAAACCTTTCTCAAATAATAAGCAAAACACATGAGATGCATCAAGACCCTGTTGGATATGAAAATCAGAGGTTTGCCACTTAAGACCTGTTAAGGAAAGGGGAGCACTTGCCCTCATCTCAGAGATACACTGGGACATCACTTCCCTCTCACATCAGAGACAACTCCAGACTCACCTCTTAGAGAGCCTCACACTGGCCTCCCTTTGTCATCCTAATATTCCTGTGCCCTTGAGGGTCTCTATGTCGGGATGGCAACTGTGTGTGGTAGGATGAATTACAGCCACAGTTGGAAACAAAAAAATGTAATTATAGGGGCCATACCTTTGGTCTATGACTTATATGGGCTGAGTTTGGGACATACCATGAGAAGGTGATTTGGAAAAGTGATTTCTTAGTTCTGAATGAGCAATGGCTGTAATGTGACATAAAACTGCTTAGAGTTGGGACTCTCTTTTTAATGGGCTATTAAATGGGGCCATTCCTGTGGCTTTCTCAGAGGCATGGCAGAAAGGAAGGAGTTCAAAGTCTTATGCTTAAAGCACCTGCTTAATTCTTGGTCTTGCTGCTCTAAAAATGTAACCAGTGGGGCCAGTGTCATGGTCAAGTTGGGTAGGCTGCCACTCGTGATGCTGACATCCCATACTGGAGCACTGGTTCGATTTCCAGCTGCTCTGCTTCTGATCCAGCTCCCTGCTAACATGCCTGGGAAGGCAGCAGGTGATGGCCCAAGTACTTGGGTCCCTGCCATACACGTGAGATGTGGATGGGGTTCCTGGCTCCTGGCTTTGGCTACTTGTCACCCTAGGCTATCCAAAGACTTTTCAGGGAGTGTCAATTTCCACTCAACTTCCATATGTGCTCATTTCTAATGCTCATCTGCTTGGCAACCTGCTTGACCGCTAAGCCTCCCATTTGTTCTGTTTCTTTTCAGTTTCCCTTTGTACTTACTGTTTTTCCATTTTACAAAATGTGGTAGTTATGGAGATGTGATGTGTAGCATCATTCAACAGAGAACCTTCTGTGTGTAGTGGGTTGAACTGGTGATCTCCAAAAGGTAAGTTGACCTGGAGCCTTAGAATATGAATTTATATATCATAGGGCTCCTTGCAGAGTGATTAAAGATCTTGAGGTTAAAGCATCCTGGATTATAATGTAACCTTATGTAAGACGGAAAAGAAGAAAACAGATACATCAACACAGAGGGTGAACGCCATGTGGAGACCCTGGCAGAGACTGGAGTGATGCATCTACATGCCAAAGAGCACCCAGAAGAGCCAGGGACTGCCAGGAGCCACCCAAGCTGAGAAAAAGGCATGAAACAGATTCTCCCTCAGAACCTTCTGAAAGAACCCATGTGGCGAAAATCTTGACTTTGGGTCTCTTGTCTCCACAACTGTGAGAGAACAAATCTCTGTTACTTTACATTAAAGGTTTGTGTAGTTGGCTACGGCATCTCCAGGACCCTCAGACACTGCCCATTCTATGCAGAGAATGGCCAATAGCCAGCCCCCAGACATCAGTGGTGGGGGCTGCCTAAGCTTCAGTGGCCGCCCTGCTTGAGGTCACGCTCTTCCCAAGACAGTCCTAGGTTCGATGATGGAGCCTGTGAAGCTATGAAGGTCGGTCCCCAAGATGACTCTAATGGTGGCAGTACTGGCTTCAGAGCTATCTGCTGGGTTGGCCGACGCTTCACTAATTCCTTCTCCAACCAGATCTGTTTCCTCCCCATTCCTTTCACAGATACTGATCTCTGAAAAACATCTTGTTCCCATATTCTGTTTCTTGAAAACTTGCACAGGCAAAGGAAATGCATCCCTTCAACGCATCTCAAAACTTCCCATGAAGTTTGGCCTCAAGGTATTGTGACTACTTGGCTGACAATGCAGCCACTCAAAATAGTGATTTTGGGGTAGGCATTGCAGTGCAGGAGGGTAAGCCGCTGCTTGTGACACCCACATTCCATATCAAAGTGCCTGGTTCAAGTCCTGGCTACTCCACTTCTGATCCACCTTCCTGCTAATGCATTCTGGAAGGCAGTAGATGATGATTCAAGTACTTGGGCCCCTGCCACCCACGTGGGAGATTTGAATGGAGTTGCTAGCTTCTGCTTGTGGCCTTGCCCCACCCTGGCTGTTGTGGGCATTTGGAGAGTGAACCAGTGGATAGAAGATCTTTCTCTGTATCTGTCACTCTGTCTTTCAAATAAATAAATAAATCTTTAAACAAATGTTAAATCAATGTTGATGTAAAAAAGAGTTTCCAGGACTTAACACTTATTTTTATAAGCCAGATTTCTCAGCCTTGATATTTATAAACACCAAGAATAAGAACAGAGCTGTTTCTGAATGCTATCTCATTCTAGCATTAAGTAATATCCATCCATGCATACTTGAGATAATTGGAAAATTAAAACCCTATCCATTTTATACAGGTGTGTATTTTAATAAACCTTTAATTTTATGTTTAATAATTACTCATAGAAATATTAAAAGCATATTTAGGTCATTTTGATCAATTTTTCCAGAAGATAAACTTTGTGTGAACACCTATGGCTTCATGGTCACAGGAAATAAAATTTCAATTTGTATTTTTATTTATGCAAACAAGAATTCTAATGGGATAATTAATAAAACACTTGAAAATAAACATATTATATAAGAATAAAACTTTGGGGGGTAAGAGGAATTAAAATGAGTTCAAGGAGAAAAAGGAAGGGACCACACTGGTGCAGTGAGTACTTCTGATCCAGCTCCCTGCTAATGTGCCTAGGAAGGCGGCAGGTGATGGCCCAAGTGTGCACACACGTGTGTGTTTCTGGCTGATGACAGTATTCAATTTCTACGGGGTTTAAATTTTATTAGAGTGATGTAATCCTTTATTTTAAAATGTCATCACTTACTGGAAAATTCTAATTATCATTAAAAAATAACTAGCAAGTTTATGACTAACAATTTTAAATGCTAACATAAAAATATAAGGGACACATGGTATTTCAAAAAATTCTTTAGAAGGCTCCTAAGTGACAGATTCCATGCCTGCTGATTTGTGCTGCAGGCCGAGCATCTCCACACCAAAGCCCACGTTACCCCTACATGCAGCTCTGGGAGCATTCTGTTCCACAGGTCTCCGAGATCCACGGCTGAAACAGAGATGGGACAGTCGTTTCTCACTTCCTCAGCAGCTCTATAAAGGCAAGGACTACAGCGGAGGGCTCTGAAGAACAGAGACTGATTTACAAACTCTCCCAAAGGAAGGAAAGGGAGCCGCTGCTTCTGCACCCTCGCTCCGTGGCCCACCCGGCTTTTTTTCTTTTCCTTCTCCAAGCAGGAAAGGAGGAGAAGGAACATCTGAGGAGGATGCACTAGCTTTGCACCATGCCCAGTCCTTCCCAAATAGTAACTATTACTATAATCATGGCTGTCATTTATTGAGTGCTTATTATTTTCAAGGTTAAAGAAATAAATTTTCTTGGGACTAGCTTTGTGATTCAGTGGCTTAAGCCACCTCTTGTGAAGCCCACATCCCATATCTGAGTGCTGGTTTGAGTCCTGGTTGTTCAGCTTCTGATTTAGTTTCTTGCTAATGTGCCTGGGAAGGCAGTGGATGACAGCCCAGGTCCTTGGACCCCTGCCACCCATGTGTAGACCTGGATGGAGTTCCCGGCTCCTGGCTTTAGCCTAGGCCAGCCCTGGACGTGGGGGCCATTTGCAGAGGGAACCAACTGTTAGAAGATCTCTGTGTCTCTCTTTCCCTTTCAAATAAATACATATTGTTTAAAAATAAAATTTCTTAACAGCTGGCATCAGAATTCCTCATGGGAAGGGAACTGTCTTCCGAGAATCCCTTAACAAGCCCTTTTAGGGACCAATTCTAAGAATCATGAGTGAGAAAAGTAAGAACATTTGGGGGAAAATGATGACAATAATACTAAGTACTTTTATAAATGCTTACAATCTGGTGGACACTGCTTTAAGCACTTTGAATAGAGAAACTCACTAAATCTTCACGATCACCCTATTATTACCCATATTTTAGAGGCGGGAACACTGAGAGACAGCTGAAGGACAGAATGATTAAGCGATGTCTCAGTGCTGGTAAATGTCACCTGGCTGCAAAGTCCCAGCTCCTGTTTACTACACTGCATCTGTGCTCCTAACTACTGTGCTCTGCCCTACACGCCTTTATATATATATATATATATATATATATACACACACACATATATATATATATATATTTGTAGTTATTAAACCAATGTTGGGCCTTTTCATCACAGAGTAAAGAAACAGAATGGAAACCAAAAGCAGACTCACACACAGAAAATTAACATATGATAATTAGGCATTTCAAATCAGTAGCAAAAATGAAAATAAGCTTCTACTTCACACCTAAACTAAATTAAATTCCAGATGGATCAAATACATGTAAATGTAAATGTATCAAAAATTTTAAGTACTAGGAGAAAATATTGGAATAGCTTTTATAGTTTTGGCATTTCCTTCTATGCAGATGAAGCCTGGAATTTATATTTAAAAAAAGATTTGTACCTTTAGCTACATAAATATTAAAAACATCTTTATGGAAAAAATACTTTTAATCCAAGTTGTATGACAAATAATACTCAGAAAAAATATTGCAAGCATATGATAAACAAGGAGACAGAACCTGTAATACAATAAAAAAATCTATAAACAAAACATAAATACCAATTAGAATACTGAGATATAAATATGCGATCCACAGAAAAATAAAAACAAATGAACAATTAAGGTATAGATGCACAATCCCACCAAAAGCCAAAGTTGTCAAATTCAAAAATATATCATACTATAAAAATTATTTTTCTCCATATTACTTGAAAGGTATAGATGGAGAGAGAGAGAAAGAGGGAGAGATGGACAGACATTACATCCTCTGGTTCACTCCCAAATACCTGTGGCCATCTAGGGAGTGAACCAGCAGATCGAAGATTCTTTCCATCTCCATCTGGTCTCTCTCTCTCTCTCTGTAATTCTTACTTTCAAATAAATAAATAAATCTTAAAAAATGTTGGCATATTGGTGATAGTATAAATATGAAGCCTTTTTGGAGAGAACATTTTTCAACGGGAAATGCATACTCCCTTTGTCCTAGAAAGAATAATGGGAATCATCATGTCTCCAATAGACAAGAACCTAGAGTGAGTCCACACTACTCTCAGCCTGGTATTCAAGGTTCTACAGGATGTGAACTCACCTTGTAGGGCCACCACAATCTGTCACCCAAAGCCGTCAGGTTCCAGGCAGCAGTACCCCCCACCCCGTACCTTTGTTGCTGCAGGTTCATCTTCTCAATGGACCCCTCCTTGCTTCCACTTCTTCCTATGTTCTTCAAGGCCTAGCCCAACCTCCATATCCTCTGTGACACTGGTTTCTTAGCACAGCCCCTGATACCATGTTAAAGGCTCAGTAAATGCAAGCTTTTGCAATTTCAGTATTACTGACAATTACACATCTATTTTCTCAGCTGGCTCCCTAATTCTTTGTTTTTAAGATTTATTTATTTATTTGAAAGTCAGAGTTACACAGAGAGAAGGAGAGGCAAAGAGAGAGAGAGAGAGAGAGAGAGAGAGAGAGAGAGAGAGAGAGGTCTTCCATCTGCTGGTTCACTCTCCAATTGGCCACAATGGCCAGAGCTGTGCCAATCTGAAGCCAGGAGCCAGGAGTTTCCTCTGGGTCTCCCATGTGGGTGCAGGGGCCCAAGGACTTGGGCCATCTTCTACTGCTTTCCCAGGCCATAGCACAGAGCTGGATTAGAAGTGGAGCAGCCGGGACTCGAACCAGCGCCCATATGGGATGCTGGCACTGCAGGCCAGGGTTTTACCTGCTACCACACAGTGCCGGCCCTTCCCTAATTCCTTCAAGCATGTTTTATTTACTTTGGGCTTCCTGTATAAAGGCAATACAGTTCATGGAGTTTTAATGTAAGACAAACCTGGAATGGACCTCAACCTGCCATTGCCACCTGTGGTCCTAGTTATCTCACCTGTAGACACAGGCCCATCCATAATACATGCTACATCCATTGTTAGGAGAATCAGTCGTTTATTCTGATGATTCTGTCTCATATTTGTCAAGGCCTATCAATGCCAAAATGGACCCAAAGCCATGGAAGGTGTTCAGCAAACTCTCCTGGCAAGTTGATAAGCTAGAGGTGCAAACTGTCATGTGTTCTATCACATACACACTAACGACATTGTGTGCACATATGTGGTGCTTTCATTTATTCAACGAAGCACTCTGTTTGCTTTTAAGTAGGCTGGTAACTATTCTCGGTTTAGAACTAGCCAAAGAATCAATCTTGACCCAGTTGCTAGGAAACCCTGTCTTTGGAGCAGAAGTTGAGAATCAATTTCCTCGTGCTTTAAAGAACATGTATTTACGTAAATTACTTCCTCAGAAATATTGATTCATTCCAAAAGCATTTAAATAATATGGAAAACAAGAGGATTTTTATGTGGAGGCTGCATCTTGACAGTGAAGTAGACAAGCACTTAGGAAAAATGTATTTACACAGATAATCTACATCTTGTTCGCGAGACAAAATAGACTTTAATGTAGTAATGGGACTATTTGTGTAATGAACTCTCATGGGCTGTTGCATAAATAATGATTCCTGAATTCTGTGAATGTTTTTATGTGAAAACTGTCTTTCTGAACTTTCATCCGAATTTGGTTCTGTGATTACATCAAAGCTGAATTTGTATTAGCAAATGAAACATTGTGAAGACATGAAGACATTTTCTAATGGAAATATAACTGGAAGCACATTTTCTCAAAAGATGCATTTTGAAGATGCTTCGGGGTCTAAATGGCCTCAATATCTTGCAGAGGATTCTCCTGGTCAGCAGCTGGCTTCACCAGGCACTCTCGGACATCAGCAAGCCTGCTCCAAGGAGGGATACCAGCCAGCCTGTGAAATGTTTCTGCAAGAACTTTTGGCTGCCTTAACCGCCTAAAGCAAATGTTTGTTTGCTGCAGTACACGAATCAAATGCTTTTGTGTGAAAACACTTGCTAGAGAAACAAATGTTTGTTTTGGTAATCGACATTTGGACTGTTGGAACATTACCACTTAAGATATTGGTTTGAGAAATATACATTTAATTTGGAAAGCACCAGTTAGGATCAAGCAAGTGACACAAATCTATGCTGTAAGGCTATGAGGTTGAAATTGGACCCAAATTTTTCATTTCTCCTTGTCAGATCTGACTAGGAAAATGGTGCCTTGTTTTACATGTTGCTGTATAATGTTACTGCACAACGGTATAAAGGAAAACAGTGATTTACTTCCTTCTAGAAGTGTATGACTTATAAATTATCAAAGATAGCAGCAAGAGTGTATTTATCTAGTATTAATATTTAAATGCCATTTTCCTATTGAGTGTACCACATGCTCCATATTAATCTTTTAGATTAGACTTAGTACAAATTGATGTTTCCTAAATGGAAGATTTCTCCTTACTTTTACTTTTGATTACCCATGCTAACTGGCAGGAGGAAAGGTGCAGATACCACCCCAAAACAGCAGGCGATACAGAAATAAGCTTTGGCTTCTGAGAGCATTACATTTTTTAGTAGCAGAAAGAAACTAATTACATTTTAAAGGACAGAGAGATTTAGAAGAGAATTTGAGTGGCAAGAGGGTCATTTATTTATTAGATATATTATATTTGGGTATAGATAATCCATAAAGAGAAAGTCAAACAGTACTATCACCAAGGTCAAGGTTAAGGTCAGAGCAAAAGAGGAAAACTAAAGATTTTTTTTCCTGTTTGTTTTAAACTATATTTTTAGCTTGATGAAAGCCAGGAGAATATGTAAATGCATTTGATTTTTTTAAATCATTATGTCAGAGTTTTTCTCTTTTGTCAAAATAAACTGCAGGATCCAGGTTCATTTGAAAATTTATAAGCTGAAACCTACAATCAAATCACTATGTACTTAATAATAAAATTATTGTCCAAATTCTTTGCTGCTGGCCTTTGCCCTAGTTGATCTTTAGCTTTAAAAAAAAATACATTTTGAAATAGAAAAGGAGGCCAGTATCGGTTTGGAATTGTCAACTGGAAGGATTATTCATTAGAATGTTGAGAAACATGACTACGTATCCTGAATCCACCCATTACTAACTGTTTCCATTTGTAAATTTCATGAGAAAGATAAGTGATATAATGCATGTATATTTGAAGTACTCTGAGCTCCCTAGAACTTAATAATTCAAAGTATTACAGTAAATTCCCATTTATTTTGAATCCAAACTACCAGAAAGCTGAATAATGAGAATTTTTTGTGCAATTTATAAAATGATAATGTCCCCAGGGGCATTACAAGATTCTAAATTCTTTTGAACAGTCACAAAAAGATTAAATTTTGTTCAGCATAATTTTGTGGTAAGAATGTTTGATAGAGTTCTAATTCTTTGAAGATAGTAATTAATCCATGTGTAGCCTATGGTAATTCTTCTTTTTTAACTTCAATATAGAAATAGTATCTTTGCATTTCCCGGAAGCTTCAGCGTTGTATTTCTAGCCTAATCAGGCCTTAAAATGTATAGCATATCATAAACCTTATAGAGTTTGGTCACGGATCATGTGTGGCCTACTTTAGTAGCTATAAATGATTCAGTGGGGTTGCAAGTAAAGGGAATCCACTCAAGCTGGTTGAAAGGGAAAGGTAACATTTGATACAATGACACCCGGCTGTTTCATAGAACCCAAGCCCATCTTGGAACCAGGGACTGGAAATTTATGCTTTTCTCCCCACGAGCTTCAAAATTGGGCCCTTTATGGTGATTGACATCATCATTAGGGACTAAGTACTGGAGTGACACCAATACTCTTTTGGCATCAAATGAGGATGCAATACACCTTAAAATATATTCTTATAACTTGGCCACCTCTCTATCCATCCATGTACTCCTCCAGGGACGAGGGGAAGGATCAGAGCCCGGGAAAATCAATCATTCTCATGGATGGTGGGGCAGTTATCAGAGAACAGGGCTCAGTGTGAGCAGTTCTCAAACTGCTGAATTCTTTACAGACTCACAAAATATTGAGGGGCGGGCCTTTGGTGCAGTGACTAAGATGCTGCTAGGCATGCCAGCCTTCCATAGCAGAGAGTCTGGGTTTGAGTCCTGGCTGCCTCCACTCTGATTCCAACTTCCGGATAATGTGCACCCTACAGGCAGCAGGTGCCGGCCAACTACTTGGTCCCTGCCACCCACCTGGGAAACTTGGATTGGTTTCCAGGTTCCTGACTTTGGACTGGTCCAGAGCTGTCTGCCACAGGCACTTAGCAAGTGAACCAGTAGATGTGAGCTCTTTCTCTCTGACTCACTCTAATAAATAAAAGTAAATACATCAGGATTTTACAAAAAATTACTGAAGACCCTAAATAACATTTGTTTATGTGGTTTATAACTATCAACATTTACCATAATAGAAATTAAAACTGAGATTTAAAAACTAATTTGTAATTCATTAGAAAATAATAAAGCCGGCCAGCGCTGCAGCTCACTTGGCTAATCCTCCGCCTGTGGCACTGGCACAGCGGGTTCTAGTCCCGGTCGGGGTGCCGGATTCTGTCCTGGTTGCCCCTCTTCCAGTCCATCTCTCTGCTGTGGCCCAGGAAGGCAGTGGAGAATGGCCCAAGTGCTTGGGCCCTGCACCCGCATGGGAAACCAGGAGGAAGCACCTGGCTCCTGGCTTTGGATTAGAGTAGTGCGCCGGTCGCAGTGCACCAGCCATAGCAGCCATTTGGGGGGTGAACCAACGGAAAAAGGATGACCTTTCCGTCTCTCTCTCTCTCACTGTCTAACTCTGCCTGTCAAAAAAGAAAAGAAAAAAAAAAAAAAAAGAAAAGAAAAAAAAAAAGAAAGAAAATAATAAATCCATTATACTTACATATTAACATTGTAACATTTTTATTAAAAATAACTACATTGGGGCTGGCACTGCGGCATAGCTGGTAAAGCTGCTGCCTGCAGTGCCAGAATCCCATATGGGCACCAGTTCGAGTCCCGGGTGCTACACTTCTGATCTAGCTCTCTGCTATGGCCTGGGAAAGCAGAAGAAGATGGCCCAAGACCTTGGGTCCCTGTACCCACATGGGAGACCTCGAAGAAGCTCCTGACTCCTGGCTTCCAGATGTTGCAGCCATTTGGGGATTGAACCAGTGGATGGAAGATCTCTCTCTCTCTCACTCTGCCTCTGCCTCTGCCTCTCTGTACCTCTGCCTTTCAAATAAACAAATATATCTGTAAAAACAAAAAACCCTACATTTTCCAAAATAAAATTAGTGAGACAGTAGCACTGTTATACATTTTTGCAAATCACTCAAATTTCTTTCTTGAGAAGAAACAGCTTATCTCATCTGGTTTTCCATTT